AAACCAGTTGAAGTTTTATTTGAATGTTTTACAACTTAAAAACGCTGTGTATCAGTTACAAAAGTGAATAGGAAACACCAATTCATTTGATGCGCAAAAACATTTTTTGCACTACACACAATTTAAGGGCTTCACAGAATTCTTCCCCAAATTTACATTGTAAGCAGAAACATTTAACAAATATTTTTTCAAGGAGATGTTAGTATGCTTCCACTTTTGTCAAACTTTTTACCCTTTGACAATGCTGCAACCTGTTTGAGTAGGTCTCTGTTTTTAGCCTGTGAGAGACAAAAATTCAAGATTTAAAAGGTCTGGCATATTGAGTCATCCTGAAGAATGCTACACTTTAATGCTGTTCATTTATGCAACAAAAGATGTCACTGAGAAACTAACAGATCAAATGAAAGAGCTGGTATATTTAGCTTGATCCCTTTCAGGTTATAGACAAGTGGAGGGAAGATTGTAGACTGGTTAATCAGTCTCCTTGGTAAATGTCAATATATCTACTGTCCACAGTTAGCTACAAAAAAAGTAATAAAGTGAATCCACTTAATAGAAGGTTCAAAGTTTAAATACAGGAAAAAATATTTGGTCTTTTACTGACAACATGAAAACTATTTAAATAAAATGATTTTATAATTAATGAAAATCAAAGGATGAATCGAGTGGAGGATTATTTTCTAGTAAGCTGTATAAAGTCTTTCATTTGATGTTTACCTTCTTGGAGAACAAATATAAGACAAATCATTTTTGCAAAAATACTCATCACTCGACCAAAGGCCCTCTCTTATTGATACACAATTTCTTTAAGCATCCATTAGAACCACCTTCTTAGACCTTCTTTTAGTTTCTTTAGTTGTCAGTCATTTGACAGTGTGAGTATGATCTAAGCAGTTTTATATCAGTATTTTTTAATTTTAATAAACCCTAGGGGTTTTTTTTTTCTTTGCAAAGATTCAAAATTTCACTTTGCCAATGATCTAAACTGAATTTGCACTTCATTATAAAGTGTCTCATCCATCACTGACAAAGACACAGTCCTTGATCCAACGTGCTATGGCAATCACTAGTGTTTAGTAGGATGGAGTAAGTAGAAGACTGCTACGTAACTAGAAACTCTCAAAGAGTACTGTCATACCTTACGGCCTCGCACTCTACATAGTCTCCAAACTCTGGAACTTACATACAAAGGATCCCTCACACACACAAATATTTCAATGACACACTTTTGAAGTTTCTGAGCCAAAATGTGATGAGTAATAAAAAAGCTTAGAATCTGAGCCCTGCCATGAAGTTATAACAGATATCCTCTGGTGATGTTTTACAACATTTTACTTCATAGGTTTTTCAATATTCTTTCCAGACAGACTTTGAACCTTAGTGCTTCACTTTCTGCTCTCCATGTTCCATCAGGTAGCTTATACCACTGGTGGTACAGACGCATTTTTAGCTTTTCTATGATTAGATAATACTCTATATATCTGTATGCCTCATTAAAAGTTTCATGAAATATAAACATTTTCCAGCACTGTACTTCCATTTCCTCACTCTTCCCCCAATTATTCCTAATTAAGACCGATGAGCTCCAACTGCAAATATTCCCAGTGCTATCTTAAATGTTTAATGAAGGCATTTTGTTTAGTTGCATGATGAATATGGTATTGCCCTGTGCAATAGTCATTAAATAACTTAGGTGACAATGAAGTTTCAATTTCAAATTTAGTATCAACTTCAAACTTTAAAGATCATCAAAAAGAACACAATTTGAGTAACGCAGAGGGCCAGTTAATTGAGATCCTTGGCAGAGGACATCAAGTTGCATACTTGCAATCATTCAGTTTTACTACTCAATACACCGGTCACAGGGGTAACTAAAAATTTTTCCTTGATAGCTGTATCATATTGGACTTCTAACTATAATAACCCATTAGCCAAACTCCGAAAATATAAGGAATTAAAGTTTCAACACATAAAGTCATGAAGAACATAAAAAAGGACTATGTCTACAAATCTGCCTCAAAGAGACCACCACCAGATCTCTAAGATACACTCATATTTAAATGTTTATATTGATACAATAAATGGCTAAAGTGAATCTCTAAATTATCTTTTCTCAGTCAAAAAAATTTAAAAAATCAACTACTTTTATATTCTAAGTAAAAACTGCAAAATCTCAAAAATTAGGTCTTAAAAGCAGTTTTTTCTTTTAATGCTCTGGCAGCTAATTTTCAATCCATATTTATGTATTTAGTCCCTAATCACAGCACCAACATATTTACTTATTGCTAAGTTATGTAAAAAAGCTTTTAAGATAAATAGTGCATCCGTTGTTAAATGGATACAGGTCCAAATTTATCTCAACTTGAGCATAATAAATATTAACACACTCACAGTGAGGCTGTAATTCCTATGTGCTGCTGCTAGGCTGCCTGAACATACATGACTGTTCCACCGGGTGACTTTTTATAAATTTTATTAGTAAAAAGTCTAATAAAAGGGATTGGATTTGTTTATACCACCAGTGGTACAAGCCGCGTCATACATGTACACCAGTGGTTTAAGTTATGGATATACCACTGGTGGTTCAAGCTGGCGGGAATGTGTTAATTACAAAATGTAACATTTAAATATATACACATTTCAACAGTTTTTATCTTAAAAATTCTTCATTATTCTCCCTGCAAAAGTAAATGAAATTATCTAAACTCACAAGCAAGTTATGTGCTACCCTAAAGGAAAGAATATCTGAATTACACAGATCCTCCTTTAAATCCTGGTTCTACCACTTACTTACTATGTTACTTGGAGTTTATCTTCTCATGTGTAGTAAAGAAACTTCAGTTCTTTAAAAACAAAAGAACTAATCAAATATATAAAGCAACCTAAAATAAGGACTGGTACATTGTAGGCATACAAATGTTAAGCTTCCCCTTTTAGCTACTTACCTACATTAAAAGAACGCAATTTTTATTTGGAATTCTTAAGACTTTATGGGGTGTTTTATACACCTGTTTTAGTGATGTTCGGTGCTTACCACCAAGTTTGAAAGTTTAAAATATCTTATGAGTTATTAGAGCAAGATAAATTTTGTTCAGAGTTTAATTCTTTATCACATTTCCTTCTTAAATGTAAGAGAGTAATTATGTCTACTTGGCTCACTACAGAATTCCACGCCGGCTGCCAAAGGAAGTGGGTACAAAGACGGCACTTGGTTATGAAGGAATGTCTAGAAATAACAAGGAATGGTGTCCTTAAAAACAAAACAAAACAAAAAACCTCTGAATAACCTCAAGTAGTGGGAACAGTGCAGAACAGGTGAAAACCTGGGGCAGAAGGCATTTTTCTATTTCTTACTAATTCTGTCCCCAGGTTCACCTGCAAAATGAGCACCTCCCATAACTCAGTTATTGTAACTGAGTAGCGCATATGTGAAACAATGCTGAAAACGTCCTACTTCTATATAAATATTAGCTACTATGGTATCATATGAAACCAGCTTCTCACAGAGAGGAAGCAGGCTTACGACACTAATCAGCGTAAGGCAAAGACGGTTCTCTACTGCTTGCAACTAGTTTAAAAATAAACATGCTTTCATGAGCAGTGGATAGTACCTTAGTGAATCATACGGAAGTACTGCTCATAGTTAGGATGTTATCTCACTCTGGATTTACCACAGAGCTCTGGATACATTCCATTAATTCTGAGATTATCAGGGGGAAGATTATATTCCAGGCAGTCATTCACTGTTACTTAATTCGAGTATCAAAAAACTAGAAGTAGTACTCGCTAGTGGGTGAAAAACAGAAATTAATATACAAGAGGCCTAATACATGATATATAGGAAATCTTTCAGGACAGATGGCAGATGGGCATTTCCATAAATCACCACTCATTTAACAAGTTATTTGAATGCCTACTCTGTCCCAGGTTCTATGAGAAGTTCTTCAAAATTTTGTTTAATAGTAAGATCAGGTTTAAAAGCAGATGATCTGTACTTTCATCTCACCAGCAGGTACCTAAGTCTTATTCAATTGAAACTAGTTGGAAAGATGTAAAACCACAACATGAGAATAGTCAATACCCCTTAGTGTTAAAGCAGTATTTTAAAAAAACAAAATAACAAAAGCTAGGGCCGGCGGGCTGGCTTTCCTTCTTTCTTTTAAACTACTCTTTCATCAAGTCTGAAGTCTAGGTGTTGACATCATCCATTAAGACTTCAACCTCTGGACCTTACAACTATGTTCCTCAAACATCAGTGCTACAATGTCAGAACTTATAAGATGGAGAATATGTAATTAATTTAGTGTGGTTTCATTTCTAAATTTGTAACAGGCAGGGAGTAACAAGCTTTAAGAAGAGAACACTGTGTATCCATGTTGGATGTTCACCAACGCTGCAGGCCAGACACGATGCTACTTTGATAGCATTCAATGCAGCTCATTCTGGTGTTTAAACCCTGCTTACTACACTTGGCAGCACTCCGAGACTGACATGGATGGCCAGCTGGGGGCATACAGGAGCTGTCTGGCACTTCGCAGGCGTAACACTTCCTGTTACCTACACTCAATTTAAATCCCTGCAGACAACATACACTTCCTTCATTCAAGACTCCTGAGAATTAGTTTTCTATATTCACCTCCTTTTTCATGATCTGGAGATAAAAAGAATAAATAATTGTACCAAAGACCCCATTTACACCTTAGTGCCATGAATATGTTATTTAATTTTTTCCTGTTAACCGAATGATCAAATAGATATTCCAATGGTATCTTCTTCTCAAAACTTCATCTCAAATTTCGGCAAGTTTTCAGGACTAATGTACTGAATGGCGTTTCAACTGATTTCAAACAATACTTTTTAATGGGGTCAGGATTAAAAACATTTAAACAGAAAACACAACAAATATGCATAAAATAACGACACTAATTCAGCCTAAGTCAATGAATGCTATTATCCAAGTATAGCCTTGACTATTACTTTACATAAAAAACATCAATTACCTGAAGCTGTTCCACAGTTTCTTTGTGAGCTTTTTCCATACTGTTCATCTTTGTTCTTAAATTTGATTCCTGGTACTGGAAGTCTGCCTTTAGTTCAGTTAACTAAGATTAAAAGAAAAAGGAGATACATGTGTACATACGTGTATGTACATATACGTAATTTCTGTCCATGTACACAGACCACTGAGAAAATTCTTTACAATATACTCATTCATTGTAAAACTGGATACAGCAGTTTTCCAATCTATCTAGAATTTGTCTTTTGAAATGATGAGTCTTGTCTACTAGAATATAATTTTAGTGTTAAGATACTACTTGACTGGAAAAACTTTTTGATTAAGTTGCTTTTTTGTTGTTTTTGGACATAGTTTGACAACTGGAATGCTGAAAGAAAAGCTTAAGGATAATACTTGGGAAGTACTTAAGTTAAAATATAGTTCATATTAATATAAACAAACTAAACAGGTGAACTGTTTTCAGGTGAACAAACTTTCAAGGATAAAAGGACAAAGTTTCACATCAGGCAAGTATAGAGGGGAACATTCTCATCATCCAAGAGTTTTGTTGTTTTATTTATAACCTACTGTCCAGGATTGTGTACATAATATCACCACAACGCCACTTTTACCTGAGGTAAAAATGGAGAACAAAACTAATGCACAATGAGCACAGAAAGGAATTACTACGTTAGACAAATGCACGGAAAAAATCCCAGTGGTCTAAGGAAGCAAAGACTACATGATTTGTTTTTATAAATACAAATGACATAAATTATGAAGTATTTTGTAAGTATAAACTGAAAATTATTATATAATTTCATAATCAGAACTATGGAGAAGCAACTTCAGGTTATTTTTAAACATTTACTATGTGGACTTCAAAACATATATTTATATACTTTTCTTCATAATTACCCAGTACCTACTAAACAAAAGGGTATATAATACCAATATTAAATCAGTGTCTTATATGCAAATAAAAGCCCTTGTTTTTGACAGATTCAAACTTTAACTAAATGCCTCCTTTCAATTTTCTATACAAGAATTCCTGTTCTGAAATGCCAATCCCCACCAATCACCTAAGATAATTATTCTACTTACTACACTGTGAGTTGCTTCCAGACTATCACCTTGTGGAAGACATGTGTCTTATCTGACTCTGCACCGGCATGCTCTATAACAGCGCTTGGCTTCAGAAGCCCCTCAACAACTGTCTATGAAATACATTCAGGAAAACCACTTGGTTGTCTGAGATATATACAAAAAAGTTAAAAAAGTGTAGCAACTTTAGATTTACAAGTATTTTCCTTGTAACTCTGCTAATTTCACACTGCATTGCTGCTTTGTGTTTTTCTTTTGAAGAGGAACACTAACTGAAGAAAATTTCAACCTGCTTCACCAATACAGACTAGGCACGGGGAAAAAAGTAACAAATCAGTATACATCATCTATTGATACCTGGCTTTTGATTCACTGCTCTTTTGTTAAAACTTGGCATTTTATTCAACTTTTCTCAAAACTAATGTAGATATATTCTGGCTCTGTCTCTCAAATGTTATATAGAATATATTTCTGAAACACTCATTATTTTAAAAAAGTGTTATCAGGGGCTGGGATCGCTCAGTGGCACAAGTGCCTGCCTGGCAAGTGTAAGGTCCTGAGTTCAATTCCCAGCACCAAAAAAAATGTTATCCATCAAAAATTACTAAAACAAAAAGATACCCATTAACTCTCCAATTTTTGTCTTACATGTCAATCTTAACTTTTATACACTGAATTTACTCAAGGTACGTGTGTGTTAAAATTTAAGTCCACGAACCATCAAAGTGTGGGAGACCAGGGATATAGCTCAGTGGAACAAGCACCTGCCTGGCAAGCACAAGGTCCTGAGTTCAATTTCCGGTACCAAAACAACCCCCAAAACAAACAAACCAAAAAAACAGTGTGGGAGACCATAACACAAAAGCTGCTGAACAACAGACAAAGAGGTCAGCTCATGTAAGGCCAGTCACGGTGGCACACGCCGGTAATCCCAGCACTTGGGAGGCTGAGGGAGGAGGATCGTAGCGAGTTCCAAACCAGCCTGGGCTACAAAGTGAGCTCAAAGCCAGCCTGAACTGCACAGTGAGACTGGTCTCAAAAAGACCAAAAAAAAAATGCCCGCTCAGATACTAGTGCTACGAGATAAATGACTTACATATGCATTTATAATCATGCCTTACTCCTAATTTTAAAAGGAATGTTTTTAATATTCTCCTACTTACATGAGATATTTAACACAGATCAACCTACATTGTCTGGGATCATAAAACAAGCATAAAAATAGGTTCTATCCTCAAAGACGACACAAACGTCATTAAAAGCACCTGTGAGCACTCACATTTCAGGAGCTGTAGCACAATGTGCACACTCACGTGAACATCATAACCCCACACAGTAGTACGGATGTTCTTATTTTTAAAATAAGAAAAGTACGGCCTAAAGAAATGAGAGCGTTCAGTTCAAGTTCACCCAGAAGTGCCAGAACTGCGAACGGAACCTGAGCACGACTTCACAGCCCTTGTCTCCCGCTCACACCTACTGGCTACTACGCCACCCTGATTTCACAGCGTTAGAAAACCTTAAATCTGTCGTAATTTTGTTAACATTATTCCTGTCACTAAACAGACAACACACAGGATATTTCTCTTTCTTTAACTGAGAAACTAAGTCCCAATAACTAAATGATCCTAAACACCTATGTGGTATTCATTACTAACCACTACCACACAAGGCGTTCCAAGACTAGCCGGGCGTGGTGGCACACGCCTGTAATCCCAGCACTTGGGAGGCTGAGGCAAGAAGATCGTCGGAGTTTGAGACCAGCCTGAGCTACAAAGAGAGCTCAAGGCCAGCCTGAACTGCAGAGCCTCAAAAAGGAAAAGAAAAAGAAAAAAAAAAACAAACAAAAAAAAGAAATTCTAAGACTATTTCTTGTCAGTTATTTGATCTGGAGTGATACATATAATAAAGACTATATTCAACTACTCTCTTAAATTACAAGAATTTACACAGTATCTCGTTTCTATTTCACTTACAAATGAAGATATTAGACCTTTTTAAAAATTACACACTTGGGCTGGGGATACAGCGCAGCAGCACAGGGCCTGCCTGGCAAGTGCGAGGTCATGAGTTCAATTCTCAGCACCAAAAAAAAAAAAAAAAAAAATTAAAACTTACCTGCTTACTGAAAACTAATGTTCAGAAATTATTACTACTCTATTAGCTATTACTCTTGGAAATACCAAGTTCTGAAAGGTCATACTTTGTTCTCTTCCTTAGACGGTTTTGATTCTAATTTGGGCTTCTGAAATTTATCTCCTAAAAATCATATACAACCAATATTACCGAATTTTTAAAAGAAAAGCTGTAATTATCAAGCAGAGGCAAGATGTAAATCTTATCAGGCTTCAACAAGCCATGCTCTTACCTTTTTGTCTTTTTCTAAAATGGTCTGGTCTCTTTGCTGTAAGAGACGCTTAAGTGACATCACTTCTTCTTTCAGTTGACTTATAAGGACAAAATTGTCTGTTCCCCCACTATCTGCTGACTGATTTATAGAGCTACTAAAAAAGAAAAAAAGTAAAACACAGTTAAATGAAGTGGAAGGGAAATCAGCAGGTGTTCAAATTGCATAAATTAGACAATTCCACAAACATCCTTAAGGCTAATGCAAAAAAATATGTACCTGACAGAAATGGATGCAACTGGCAAATTACCTTACTAATGGCACACATTACATACACCTGCAGAAATATAATTCAGTATTAGCTTTTAGGGGGTCAATACTTCTAGTGTAAAGCAATAGGCAGCCAATTTGTACAGTAACATCAGCAAACTTTTGGCTAATGAACTAAAACAAAGTCATACTCATCATATTTTAAATCTAAAAACATTTTCTAAGCAGGTCAATTTTAAAATACTACAATCAGATCTGTGTTTCTTCAAAGAACAATTAAGATAATGTTCTTAATTCTTATGTTTTCTTTTTGCAACACCCAAAGTTATTCCCAACTAGAACAACATAGTTTAGTGCCACTTTCTTATTGCCAAAATTAGGTTAAAGTGTTCTTAACTTTTCCAGGTGACTCGAAGTCAGTGTGGAAGATAACACGTTTCTATGCTCTGGTCTAGTAACAACTGGCAAAGTGGAACTTTTGCAAACACTAAGGAATTCACTTTTACCTATCTCCATTAGATGGCTTAGATTCCAATTTGGGCTTTTTCTTTGGAGTTTCATTCTGAATTGCTGCAGAGGATTTATGGCTGAAACCAAACATTAATAATAAGAATAATTAGAGTAAAAAAGGCAGAGGCACCAAACTGTTTACGTTCTCTTCCCCTAAATATTACTGAGTATCACTGAAATGTTTTGAAAGCCTATGTAACGAAGTCAGAGGGCTATCACAACTTGAAGAACACATTTCAAAAACTCTAGAAAATCTGAATGTATTTACCTCTGTTTCCACAGTCCCTGTTCCTGCTCTGGACTTAGGTTGCTGATTCTGAAAAACATGAACAACATCTGATACGAATATGCACTTAAACTTCTTTTTTCTTTTTGAGACAGGGTTTCAACTACGCAGTTCAGACTGGCCTTGAACTCACTGTATAGGCCCAGGATGGTCTCGAATTGTAGCAATTCTCCTGCCTCAGCCTCCCGAGTGCTGGGACTACAGGTGTGTGCCACCACACCCAGCCACCAACATGTACTTAATACATCTATATTTTATAAAATTTTTTCTCTATGGGAATTAAATTATGTTATAAACAAAACTTTATAAATCATATTCAGAGATAAGCATAATTAAGTTTTCAGTTAGGTCAATATACTGAATAAATCACATTCTAATCAAATTAGTAGCCAACTTAAATTTTTTAGGTAGTAAAATGATAGGAGCTGACTTTTTTTCCTTAAACAAAATCTTCATAATTTAATATACCGCATATACCACACCAAAGGTTGAGGCAGATGAGCATAAAACCTACAACAGAGTTCCATAATTATGAAATCTAGGACTCACTATATTTTAGCTGCCTTTACTATTTCATATAGAAAATGTATATCTTTAAAGATTTGGGGGCTAGAGATCTAGTGGAGTGTATGTCTAGCATTAGGCAGACCCTGGGTTTCATCCCCAGTACTGCAAATAAAATGGAAAAATAAAATGGCGTATTTTTTAAAACATAAAGATTTTTCCTGCAATCCTTAATCAAGACTCCTTTTTCAGTTGCTTAAAACTGTATCAAGCTGGTTGAAGACTATTTTAACTTCTCAGTCTTTTCTAGCTTCCTACAAATCCTCTCGAAGTACTGACTCCTTAACTCAAAACCTCAAACACTTTAGTGAATACTTTGAGGAAATCGTGCTGCAAACGCTGTGAAATTGAACAGTAAAAGTAATTTTACATTTGCATATAACCAAGCAGCTGTTTCCACCTTGCTCCAGTGCTAACAACCAGTCTGTGGTATAACCTGAAACCGCGTTCCTTTCGGCTGTGCCTGCACTCCACTCACTCTCTCCCCAGCCCCACCTTACCATTCAGCTCATCCGTAAAGTGTGCTGTGTATCTTGTAAGGGTGTGAGCACTAAACAAGTTGTATAAAATTTACTGCTCCCTTGCAGAAGTTTTTTAAAAGGAAAAATGAGAAGTAGACAATAATCAGCTGTAAATAAGTATGAAGGTGAAAGAGCAGCTGCAACCCCACCAGTCTACGTCACTTTCACTGTGGTAGTGAGTGGCAGCTCTGCTGAGGAATTTCTTTCTTTCCTTCATAATTTCATTACACATGAAGTAAGAGCAGTGAGCAGAAAGCACACGAACAGTGAGTCACCAGAAACACGTGGAACTCTCATCTCGTTTCCCAAGGCTGACCGCTCCAGACCCCAAACTGACCTTGCTACCCCTTGCCGCCACCACCACCCCCTCCCCACCAATCACCATCCACTGTGATATGTGTGCTCCTTGTATTTGTTCTAATCCACTCCACTTAATGTAAGAATCCTACAGCTGGGCTTGGTGGCACACACCTGTAATCCCAGTATTCTGGAGGCTGAGGCAGGAGGACTGCCTCCAGTTCGAGGCCAGCCTGGCCCGACCCACATAGCGAGACCCTGTCTTCCAGAAAGAAAAGACAGAATCTGACCTCTAAACTGGTTGTTCAAAAATGGTCATTAGCCACCAGATATAAAAATAACACAGTTGGCCATCTATATCCTCAGGTTCGGCATCTGAGGATTCAACCAACTAAAGACAGAAAAACCAAGTTAGGGTACCAGTAGGGGTTGTTACGGTTTAAGCATGAAGTACCCTCAAAGAACCTTCCATTGAATGCTTGACCTACAACATAGCAGCACTCAGAAGAGAAGCACAGAGAGGTGATCCGATCACAGGGGCACGCACCTCATCAATGGATCGATCCAGGCTACTGGGAACCCGACGAGCAAGGTCCCTGCGGCCTCCCCCAGAAGGGTGTACCTCGGCCCTGGTCCCTTCCCCTCTGCCCCTTTCCTTCTCCTTCTACCTCCGGGCTGCCAGGAGTAAGCGCCACCCTTGCCAGGACACTTCTCCCTCCAGCGCGCCTTCACGCCATGGACCCCGACAGCCATGTGCTGGACCTTTCGAAACCCCGAGCCAGAATGAATCTTCCCTCCATGAAGCTGTTCACTGTAAGTGCTCGGCTACAGCCTCAAGGGCCACAGACGTCTTACTGCAGAGACAGACTTTCTCCACTCCTTAAGCAACACACTTACACTGTACTAGGCACTGTACATCATGGAAAGATGTACGGTGTGAGACAACCATAGGTCACATGCAAACACTATGCTATTTTTTGTTTTCTGGGTACTGGGAATCAAACTCAGGACCTTGTGCTTTCCAGGCAGGCACTATGCCACTGAGCTACGCTCCTGGCCTACTATACTGTTTCATACAGACCACGGTGGACAGTCAAAGACAACTACTAATGTTTCAGTAACCCAAACAAAAAGTTACTGTCACATAACTTTACCCCTACAAAGATACTGATTATGTTTTTTCACAGCACACATGAAAGGACAGGAAAAAGAGACAAATCTGGCAGTCTTCAGAGTAGGTCTGGCAGCCAGGTTTTGTGGAACACACTTGTAATGCCAGCACTTGGGAGGCTGAGGCAGGAGGATCACTCACTGTGAGTTCAAGGCCAACTTCGCCCCGCCTGAAATCAAGGCCAGCCTGAATTGAATAGTGAGACCCTGTCTCAAAAAAATCCAGAAAAACGCTAAGCATAGGTCTGGTATATGCCACTGTAATATGTAGTTATTTTGTCATTTTTTTTCCTTAAAAAAGAAGCAAAAACAAAAAAGATTTATGTTCCTTTATTCCTAGGATAATCTGATAAAAGACTGTAAGATTTCTTTAAATTGCCAGGTTAGAAGTCACTGCCTTATAGTCAGTCTACCACCGTTGCACCTAGAAAACCCTACAATATGGTAAAAGTAAACAACGCAAACAAAAATCTTCATAATCTAACAGGTGCTTATAATCCCATCTTATTTAGAACTATTATGTGTTCCAAAATATGCCAGGTATCCGTTTTGTGTATATGAACAGAGTTCCTACCTATGTTTTAAAACACAGTGAAGTACCATTAGTTAAAATATTTCTTACACTCTGAGAACCACCAAGAGTGCTTCTACGGATATAGGGCTGTTGCTCACTTTTACTATGAGCAAAGTCCTGGGTTAAAGCCAAACAAGAAAAAAAAGAGGAAGAAGGAAGAGAGATAAAAAAGCAAGCTGCTACTTCTTCTTCTTCTTTCTTTTTGAGACAGGGTCTCACTACACAGTTCAGGCCGGCCTTGAACTCACTGGTCGCCCAGGCTGGTCTTGAACTCACAGTGATCCTCCTGCCTCAGCCTACAGAGTGCTGGGATTACAGGCACGTGCCACCACACCAAAAGAAAGCTTCTGTTACATCATAAATGATAAAGCTAATGTGCTCTCCGGAAAAGAGTACAGTGTAGAACACAGTACTTTCCAGTTACTGGTGTAAATCTGCATAAAAATGAGGGCTTTTGGTAACTGAAATCTCTGAAGTACTAACTGATAGTTATATTTTGACTTTACTTGTAATCATTTTACAAATTTATTCCATAAATGTCCTATGATTACTATAATAAAAGCTAAACAATCCAGGGATATGTTGTACATACTTCATAAAGTAGGGAGACAGACTTAAGATACTCAAGCTTACCCCAGACAATGTAAACTAGACTAGCACACAGATATTTGCAAATAAACACCAGTCTAAACAATGACAAAGCCCTAAAATGCCAGAAGGGATTTTAGAAGGTGTCATTTCAAAGTACTTACTTGTGATGGCTACTGCTGTGACGATGGTGATGATGGTGATGGTGGTGATGATGTTTGGAATGATGCTGGTCTTTCTCAGTAAGAGACGATGATGAAGAATTTGAATGTGAAGATCCAAGGCTCTTCCTCTGTTCTTTTGTCTTCTGCAAAACTCTCTTGTATGATAAAGTACAGAGCCAGCATAATAACTTTCCATCAACCTTTTAAGAAAATATTTGTATTAAATTAAGTGTATGGGTAAGCTGGCCATAAGCAAAATCATGTGTTCAACTTCCAGCTACATTTCATATATGCATGCAAAAATTAGTGAATGCATGCATTCAAAATTTTTGCAAAATGGAAGTAAAGTTACTTTTCTGAAACGTGGGAAAATGCTTGTTCACAGGATTATGAAATTGGTAAAGCTGACTGATGCACTTCTATTACTTTTGAGGCATTTTTTAATTTGAAGAGAAATGTTATCCTTATTCTTGGAAAATAAGCACGAATAGGCCAGGGAGATAGCTCAGCAACACAGCACCTGCCTGGCAAGCACAAGGTGCTGAGTTTGATTCTTGGTACAAAAAAAAAAGTAGCACAAATAACTAATATGCTCTCAAGAAATGTAGCCTGAATTCCTCTAAAGTTTCCCGTAGCAGTATTATGAATTTACAGAGAAACAGGAAAGCTGAAATAACATACACAATCGATTCTCATTATTTCCAGACTGCCTATTTGCTAGTATTTATGTGACCCAAATTCTAACACATTTGTGGTCATTCACACACAAGTACAGAGCAATGAAAAACTTGTGCCACCACAAAGCACACATTTCTGCTGAGGCAAGGTGACACTCTTCCTTGCTTTAGCCCTCATACTGTAAACAACTGTTCTTTTCGGTCCATTTAGTACCGTTTTCCAGCCTTTTACGTTTTCTGCTGATGATTCCGACATGCTTTTCGGTCACAAGAGACAGTGCTGAAGTGTGTAGCATTCCCAAGCTCAAGGCTGTGATGTGCCTTACAGAAAAAGTGTTAGGTAAGCTTTGTTCAGGCATCACTAGTGCTGACAGTCATGAGTTCAATTAAATTAATCAGTATCAATTTAGCAACCATTGTAAATTTCTAAATTTCTATCATTTTGTCTTGAGGTTATGTTTCATTTTTGTTGTTTATGTGTTATTTTGTTTTGGCTCCATGGTTTTTTTTAATTTTTAAAATAAGCAAAAAAAATTAATAATGTCACTACACACACATATATACATACATATATATAAAGAACAAGGTGTCATTAAACAAAAACACAAAATAAATTACGCACTGATCAACTGAGATAGGCCGGAATCTAACTGTTTATTTCCACAGGAGCAATAGCTCTGCATTCACTCAGTGTTTCTGGAAACTTTATGGAACATAAACCACGGCAAATAATGAGAATTGTATGTAAATCAAGGGGGGAAGGAAAGATTTCTTTCCAAATTAAGACAAAATCTACAAAAATAAGGTTAAGGTTTTTGTCTTCTGTTGTTCACCCAAGAAGCGCTGGAGGGACATGTCTTACAACTAAGGTACATACATTGCTGTGTGGGGACCTGGGGGAGCCCCTCAAAGAGACAGTCATCCTCCAAAGCAACTGAAACTGACAGACAACAGGAGGCCTGTGTGAATGCTCATCAGCAGAGGAATGCCACATGCATAAACATACTTATTAAGTCACTGTAGGTAGAGAAAAACAGACAATGTTGATTTCAAATATGAGCCCACACCGAAAGGCAGAAGACTAACTTTGAATTCTACGTGATCAAGTGTCTTCAGGTATTGTTGCATATCACCAACTTCAAGAGACCAGCAAAAGGGTACATAGGTGAAAAGATTTACTTAATGACTAAATCCTCTAAGCCCAGGGAGCGAGACCAAACATTGCAGAATAGCCACAGAATAACCTTTCTCGTTTTCATTTTGCGATAGGGTTTCACTATATTGCCCACGCTGGTCTTCAACGACTGGGCTCTAACAATCTGGCCTCAGCCTCCCAAGTAGATGGGGCTGTGAGTGTGTACCACCATATCTGGCTCGAATAATTTTTAAAACACAGTAATGCAACTCATCAACAGGAGTTCATATTTAATGCAAAGAAGGAGAAAATTCACTACTCCTATCTTTTAAACTAATAATGTTTTCAGGGACCCACAGGACAGATCACGTCTCAGCGCATCAAGTATAATGTTCAACTGTCTGGCATGAACTTCCAGATGCTGTAACATACATAAAACAGACCTTTCTTCTTCCCTCCTCCTTCCGATCAAAAGCACACTGTTGTTTGCACTGTTCACAGGTCTGAGGGGGCCCGTACTTCTTCTCTGAATTTGTGCAACGCTGGCACTTGGTACCAATGAACGCCGCAATTATGTTACAGTACTGACAAGGCTTGGGCTGAAAAACAGTTACACAATTTTTTGAGACATCTGAAAACAACAAAAACTTGCTGCACAAAATACATCCAATGTTATAGATACTTTGGGGAATAAGGCAACTAACAGGGAAAAAACTTGTTTTCTGTCAAGTAAGTTACCCAGCCAGTGACATCTGTATTTCTACTGATTCAAATAATATTTACTTGAGAGTCATGAAACTGTTACTCTTCTATTTAAATAAAATCACAAGACATATATGCATCGTTTGCATTGTATGCAACGTAACACAGAAGCTACACAATAAAATGTGCTCTAAGAATGAAAATAAAGGTACTGCATGCTTTGAGAGAAAAGTCTCATGTATTCAGAATTTGGCGATATAAGCTTTTAATTTAATATCCTGGTTAACTCAATTACAAAATCATTTATTCAAACAATAATTTTTAACCATATAAACACTACAAAAAATACCAGTTGATATCGTTGAGTTTTCAACTTTAAAGTAGCAGTCAATATAAACTATAGTAGAGATACCTTGATGTTCTTGGATAGTCCAGAGAAATTCAGGATAGTAGATACCCTCAAGATCAGTACTCTGAACAGTGACAAATAACTCTGATGTACCAGCAATGACTGTAAGGTAAGACCACTTGTACTAGGACACTGTCGTAAGTTTTGCAAAAAATACCCGAATTGTGCTGCCACATAAAAATAATTCTAAGGGTAAAAGGTTTGAATACGCAAACCTTATGATTAAGTGGGTTCTCCACAATAAGCAGTTTGCTGTAGTTGACTCTTTAACATTGAAATTCAATAGACAGTACTCAAAAGATGCACACAATCTTGCATTTTTAAAATGTTGTCACCTTCCTATCATATTTGTCTACAGAAATTTTATTTCATAAGATATTTTGCTATGCTGAGATACATAAGAACACAGTACTACATATTTTTATAAGGTCCATCTTGGTATAAAACACTGACTAGTAATAATATGAAATGAAAACATAAGATACTCACTGTCCCAAACTGCTTCACATTTTGAGCACACTTCTTACAAATTGTGTTAGTTTTGCTGAAAAAAAATTATACAGATACGATCACATTCCTGTAGCTTTCTGGGATAATGGGGACAATGTTAAAAAGTAAACGGGTAAGTCAATGATTCACACTACTTAAAATTTATTCTAACTCACAGTAAGTGCTTTTTTAAAAATGTGAACGTAAGGATTTTTTTAAGGTTTTACGTAAATTTAATTTCTTTGGTTAACAAAGCAAAAAATTATGTCTTGAGACAAGTCCCGAAATCTTCACACATGCCATTATTAAAGCACAGGCTTATGTATCAGTGCCTGCTTCATCCTCCTGAATCCATTCTCTGTTTGTTTTCTTAGGTTAATTTCTTCTGTACTCTCAAAGCAGAATCACCCTTCCAAAAGTTCCCACTATTCTTTCACTGTTAACAAGTTACTACTGTCTGCTAACAAGTTGTGAGTTACTAGCAGATCCATCCTCAGGCTCATTTACATTTTACCTTTTTCACACAGACGAACGGTAATTATTTATACTTGCATTTTTGCAAGCAAGGCTGCACACTTTCTGTTCATGGATTTAGCTTCCCTTCCTCATGTGTGAACTGAAGTTTAGCTGTAAAACGGCAGCCACTTTCGTTTTGGTCAATATTCCCCCACAACCTATGTTTATGACTTAAAATTTCAGAGGCTAAAACATTAAGACAATACTTTAAGATCCAGAAATCACGCTCAATTCCGTACACATAAGATTTGCTTTTAACAATCAGAAACTGTTCATTATACAAACCTCTCTTGTTGAAATTCTGATCTGCAGTAAGTACATTTTACAATAGGATGTGCAATCCGACATTCCTGTAATAAGACAATACATCCGTCAGTAACTATCTCAGAGTCCCCAATCTCACTTTTGTCGCAGAAAATTATTACCCTGTCTAGCCAAATGTCTCACACACCAGAAAAACCTGTCCCCAGTGTAAACAACTGGATATCATATAAACGGCCAAGCACAAGATAATTCCTTGGGGAAGGTGTACCTGTCTTGGTCTTTATTAGACGTAGAAAGTACGTTACAGATAAACTAAGAAAGCTGTCAGCACTGATTTCAAGGGGTGGGTAAACGTGGAACTACTTATTTTGCACCGGTGCTCACAGACGGCATCCTGGCTTTAATGGGATGGGAGGAGCTCCAAATCACGGAGCATTCCGCTCCCAAACCAGTCGCTTCGCTTTCCTGGGCAGGGAAGGATGCCATCAGCTTTGCGGCTTCGGGTTCCTAGCAAGAAAGTGCAAACGCCGTCCCCTGCCTCCTGGTGGAAGGAGAGGACAGACCGCGCAGGAAACCGAGAGGAAACATCCGCACCAGGGTCCCTGCGGCACAGGTGTCTGCCTGCTGCGGCCCCACCCGCGCCCCGCGGACGCTC